TAGATGAATTGTTCTTGAGAACTTGGCATCATAGATATGGAAGTTTTGCATGTGGATCTAAAGTCTCCACAATTTTGGAAGCTAAAGATGGGTTTGGAACCTAGGTCTAACCTAATCTAGCAAGTTGAATTCAAGTTGCTTTATTAAAAATTTTGTACATGCCAAAAATGTGTATTTTGGTGTCCTAAAGATATTTACGTGATATTTATCAAATGTGTTGATTGTTTGATAAAATATGCATCTTTCAGACACTTGGGGGGCGTTTGGTTCGTAGAATGGAATTCGATGGAATTGGAATTCACCAAATGAATTTGACTTTGAGGGAATGGAATGGAATCTGATGGAATTTGACTATGCATTGTGATTGCGTTTGGTTACATGGAATGGAATTCTTAATGGCATTGGATTAGGGAAGGAATCTTAGGAAAGGAATTGAAATCCTAGCATATTGCCATGGAATTGTGAAATCTGTGCGTGAAGGTATCGACTGGAATTGAAAGGATTCCATAGTCTTATTCCATGAACCAAACACTCTATTTGGAATTTGGTTAAAGGATTGGACATTCCAATTCCTTTCAATTCCCATGATCCAAACAGCCCCTTGGTTTATAAATTTTGTAAAATGCCCGTATTTGGGACTTTTAGACATTTTGATAAATAAACCACAAATGTGTGGAGATTTGAAGCTTTATTCTCCTACTGAATCTATTTGATGATTAAGACACTTTTATTATATTCGGTTTTATAAACAATTTGGAAAATACACATTATTGTGCTATAAAGTATTTTGCAATTCCATCCAAATCCATGAACTAAACAGCCCCTAAGGTTTCCATCTGGGTCGACATCGAAAGCTTCTTCTTGGTGGTGGTGGTGGTTGATCGAAGACGCATCCTGTTGAGATATGTTTTTTTTTTTTTTGAAGTATATAATGTTTATATACGGCAAATGCAACAAATAAACTCACACACCATCCTCACTTATGGTGAGGTTTGAACCCCTGACCTCCTAGAAGGCCAAGGGCTACGATACCACTAGGCCAAAGGCCCTTTGGTCTGTTGAGATATGTTGGGTTAGAAGTTGAAAGATCTGAGACGGTGGAGGAGGGATGGAGATCTGGCGAGTTTGGATGGTGAGATTAATCTCAAACTACAAACTTGCCTTGGAAGTTTCATATTAGATGTGAGATCAGACATTGCTTTCACATATACTACAGAAAATGGCACCATGTTTAATGATTTTTTGATTAAAACCCTTGAATGATTGAGATTAGTCTTTACGGTACTCGACCTATTTTTTGGTTATCACATGATTTAACCCCTATATATAGGGGAGTAATCAAATGCAAACTAATCATATTCGTACAAACCATGAACACCAAATCCGACCAATCACAAAATTATTTATATTTTTTATTGTTTTAAACATAAGGGCTAATTCGTCATTCCCTTAAACTACAGATAAATATGGTTATTACAACCTTGTATTTTGGAATTTACGTTAATTTTTCCATTTATTTATGAAAGATTTTTTTTTATTATTTTTCATTAATAAAACAAATTTGTTTGGTTTGTTTATGGAATTTTTTTTTTTATTAATAAAACAAATTTGTTTGGTTTGTTTATGGAAGATTTTTATTATTATTTTCATTAATAAAACAAATTTGTTTGGTATGTTTATGGAGAATTTTTTTATTTTAACTTTATTTATAGGGCAAATAGATAGGAATCATTTAATTAAAAAATAATTCTCATTCAATTAAATTTGGTTTTGCATACTATCTTTTTTTCGAAAAGATTTGATAGGTTTATTCATCAATGACAGGATTTTTTATTTATAAAAGCACGAATTTTTTCATTCACGAAATCATAAAATATAAAATCGTAATCATTAAATTATGAGTTTTTTTCATTTATGAAACCATGAAAGAAAAAAAAACATGTACATGAAATCGGGAAAAAAAACTGAAAAAATATGATTAAAAAAATATTTAAATTGTTACAAAAAGTATCACATACCATAAATTATTACCGGAAATAAAAAATTAAATCGAAAAAAAATATAAAAAAATATCTTTTGATTATTTTACACTTTTAAACTCCAATTTAGGTAGGATATAATAATTGTTGTTTTTCTTAACATAAATAACTTATTTATTTTTAACCATTGATCAATGAAATCAAAAATAGAAAAGTTTGCAAAAGTTTGTACTCATAATCTCTCTCTCTCTTCCCTCTCCCTCTCTCTCTCTCTCTCTCTCTCTCTCTCTCTCTCTCTCTCTCTATATATATATATAGGTAGGGTTTGTTAACCCAATTTATAGTATTAACTGCGTAAACTTATCACAACCATTTATTTTGTGAATCAATTGATGACAATTTTGATAGCGTAATAACTAATAATATAATACATTATCATCTAAGATGAACATACATGAACAAATGTATTATTGGAAGAAAAAAAATCATAAAGTTTGTAATTGTCCATTAGGTAGTGTTTGGTATGCAAACATAATTGGACTGGACTGGACAAAACTGGATAGGACGGGACTGGACAGGACAAAACTGGGCAGGATAAGAGTATGTCTGGTGTTTGGTACGACTAGGATTGGACGAGACAGAACTAGACAAGGTACCCTCAAAAATTATTTGATGATTTTAAGTATTATATAATAGTTATAATTAACACAAATAAAATAAATAATTAAAGAATTTAATTTATAAATATTTGTACACAATTTTCATATAAATGAATACATACATATAATGGTATCAAATTTGAATGAAAAACTTGATATAATTAATGGTAGTAGTGGTGGTGGTGGTAGCCGACGGTAGTAGTGGCAATGGGCGGTGGCGGTCGGTGGCCGACGGGGGTTATGGAGGTACAGGTAGTGGTGGTTTGTGGAAGACGGTATTATAGAGGACATAAAGATGGTAGATTGTGGTGGTGGTGGCGATTAACAACGGTGGAGGAGGTAGTTTTGGTTGATGTAGTGAAGATAGTGGTGGTGATGGTGATGGTGATGGTTATGGTGGAGGTGAGGTGGCAATGAATGATGGTGGCCGATGGTGGTTGTGGAGGTCGTTGAGGAGGTTGTTGCAGTAGAGGATGAGTTGGAGGTGGCGAACGGTACTAGTGGTGGTGGCAATGGACGATGGTTGTCGGTGGTCGATGGTGTTTGTAGAGGTGGCAATGGACAGTGGTGGTCGGTGGTCGACGGTGGTTGTGGAGTCATGGAGGAGGTCGTTGTGGTATAGGAGGATTTGATGGTGGCCAATGGTGGTTATGGTGGTGGTAATGTGAGGTGGTGGTCGGTGGTCAATGGTGGTTGTAAAGGTGGCAATGGACAGTGCTGAAGGAGATTGTGGTAGTAGAGGAGGAGTTGGAGGTGGCGAAGGGCGGTAGTGGTGGTGGCAATGGACGATGGTAGTCGGTGGTCGACTATAGTAGAGGTGGCGATGGACTTAGTAGACGGTGGTTGTGGAGGCAGTGGAGGATGTTGTTGTAGTAGAAGAGGAGGTGGATGTGGAGGGCCGAAACTAGCGGTTATGATCATTAAAACAAATATCATATTAAGGTGTTTTATCAAATTATGGTAGATTAGTAATATTTTTGTTTTTGTCTCATTCTTATCTCATCTTGTTCCACCTATTTTGGTGAAACAAGAAAAAATCTCTTTTGTCTCATGTTGTCCCACCTTGTCCCATTTCTTGTCCATGTTCCATGTCGTGCTAAACGTGGGACAGTGAGTTCTTGTTCTGTCCCATACTGCGTCAAACATGGGACAGTGAGTTTTGTCTCGTACTGTCATGTCTCGTCCTGTCCCATGTACCAAATGCAACCTTAATGACATTAATGTTCATATGAACATTAATCCATTGTCATTAATAAAAAAATCTCCATTATTATAAACATTAATATACACATGAACATCTCTCCTATACGAACATGTAAACAATGTGATTATGTTCATTAATATTTGAACAATGTTCACATATGTTCACTTGGCTATTCCACTTTTTCATATATTAACAAACAATGAACATTGTACACTTATGAAAATATGTTCACCGATGATCTCATAATATTTTTTCCTCCATAGAGTTCATATCACCGAAAACGATATTAACAATATGTTTCAAAAATGTTTACTTGTGATCTGTTCACTCGGATTAACAATTTACTCATTGTGTATATTAATATTCACATTTTCAAAAATGTTTACTTGCGATTTGTTCACTCAGATTAACAATTTCATCAAAATTAGTTTTATTTAATGATGATCATAATCCCAACAATCAAGCAACTATTAAGTTGTAACTACTCATTAATTAATACAAAATGTAACTTACGTGTATTATGTCCTTCATCCAATAATCAATATCTTATTGAAAACTATCACAAACAATGAATCATATTGGTCCATTAGGTTAATATAGTTAACATTAAAAGTTGAGTTAATAAAAGAACCTAGCTATATATATATATATAGACTTGGGATCATGTGAGACCAACCTGTTTTCATGAGACCCGTGAGACCATTTTTTTACACTTTAAACTTCACAGTAAAATGCTGTGAAGGTAACCTTCACAGTGTTTTTGCTGTGAAGGTTTGGATTTTTTTTTTACCTTCACAGTGTTTTCGCTGTGAAGTTTCAAGTGTAAAAAAGTGGTCTCACGAAAACAGACTGGTCTCATGGGAACCCAACCCATATATTTTATATATATATATATATATGTAGAGAGAAAGAGATAAGTTATTATGCAACCTTTTACATTTATACAATTTATACAATTCAATCACAACCGTCCATTTAATTTGATAAATATGTGATCTTATAAAAGTTTAGATTGTTTCCTATAAAATATTAATCATAATTAATAAACCCTAATCATCTTTCATAAATATTTAAATCATAATAAATGAACTCTGATCATTTCCATAAATATCTCAATTAATTGGGTTACGCATTTGAAACGTGAGAACATCGATTTAAATTGGTTAAACATTCAGGTTTTGTGGGCATTGCATTATTACAAGTAACACGAAGAAAAAAGAAAAGAAGCGATCCACTAAACATATTCAACTTGAAATAGAAAAATCCACAGAAAACCAGTTCCTTGCATTATCTCTCTCAAAAAGAAGTGACAGGATAAGACCCGCCACAAAGTTGATTCGCCTTTATTGCAAGTTCGATACAGCATGCACACACTGCTTTTTCTCCATCTCCATCTCCATCTCCATCTCCATCTCCATCTCATTTAACCATACCAATATCTAATCAGCACCAACATATTTTACCAAATCTCAACCCCCACAAACTTCAAAGCTCTGCTGCTGCTGCTGTTGCTTTCTTATCATCAAGGGATATCTGCATTTGTAAATCAATAAATTTTCAATCAATCAATAATGATGATGAGTTTTAAGTTATGTGCACGAAGTGGTTTGAGTGGCTGAAGTTGTCATGTCTGAAAAGCAACTGTCCTCATTCATAATTCAAATTTCTAAAATCCATGTGATCAAGTACAAGACGGACTTGTGTGTAGACCCACCCAACCAACATGATGGTGGAGTGGTCACGTAACACAATGCTGTGCAGATATAAAGTGAGACACAAGACTTTCCAGTACATCATATCATATCATATCATATCATATGTATGCCCAACAAAGTCGGATCTCAAGATACAACTCTAGTTTTAGGAGATGGTGGGTGTCATATTAAAGCCAAACACAGTTTACTGCCCTCTTATCCACAAAAAGAGACCTTACTTTCTTACCAACACCATTATTATATTTGGTGGGTCTGCTAATCCAAACTTATATTACATATGGGGAGCAAACAAATCCCCATCCATATGGGTTATGGATTTTCTTCAGCTTCAACTTAATAACAGTTATATGGGATATTAGATTTAACCAAAACAACAGTTATGGATAATATTGGATCATAGTTTAAGTAACTTACTCAACCTCGACTAATGAAAAAACTCCCAACTCCATAAACAAACCTAGACATGATAAGATGCTTGCATGGCGGCAATTGGAGAAAGTCATTTCTTATCTATATTGATTTCTGTCAAAATAACACATGCCAATTCAAGAGACTCTTGTCTTAGTGCATGCTACCAAGATATCACTTAGCTTTCTGTCAGGCCAAAGTGGAGTTGAACGATGCTCAAACTGAACATGGTGGTTTTTATCTTCTTGCATACTTGTTGTCCACACAGACTTGTATCTGGATGGAAACAATCCCCATCATGAATACATGATTGGTCCAAACTCTAAAGAAAACGATAAGACGGACTTCCTCCAGAAAAAGTTCAACAAAGCACTACCATTGTACCCTTGACTTGAAGAACAACCACAATCAAGTAAGCAATTCCAGACTACAAAGAAGATAGGTCCTACATGAACCATTAACCTATAAAGACTATTTACAATCTGGGATACATCAAGTGACTAAATGCCTAGTGTAACTGATGTCATGATGCATTCAGATTAACAATGCTTTGTAGATGTACATCATCAATACAACCAATTAGATGAACACATGATGACATGTGTCACAACGACACGCAGAGCAAGTCAAATACGGTGTGTATGCATGGCTGGAAGGAGCCCGCGTTGATTACAAATTTCGATTTACAGAAAAATGGAGTTTAAAGTATCTGCAACGACAAAGATTTAGGGTTTCGTTACAGCCGATAAGTATTTTTGTGCCTGAAACCTATGAAATTAGCTACATGATTTGCTGAACATCCATTTAGTGAGGGGCTCCAAGGAGAAAGTTGAATATTCACTTCAAGAGAACTAAACTAACAGGGTAACAGATACCAGAATGTGAAATCTGCAGATAGAACAAGTCATATAAATAGTTGCTAAGGTTATCAAGGAACAACGGTTAATTAGTAAAGAGGACACAAAAAACACATTTTGCACTTCAGATAATTGGATTTTTCTTAGCCCAGATATGACTGGTACTGGATCAAAGCATGTTCCCAATCAAGTTAGACCAAGGGAATTGTTAAAATAGGGTTACATGTGTCATTGTATATTTAACTTATATTGAGAATATGTAATTTGGGAAAGTTAGCGATCTTCAGCCCTCACTGTGTTATAGATGCATCCTCCTTTGCCTTAAAAGAGACACAATAATGAGAAATACCTTACAACCAACATAGTATCAATGCAGGTTGTATCTTGATACAAACATTGCATCCAAAACCCTAGCCATCTCAAACACAATCTAAGACCCTAGCAGGCACTGTTGGTAGCAACTACAAACCCTAGCAGTCACCACCATTATATTCACAAGTTAAAATCCTAGAAGTCGCCACTGCTGCCACAGTAGCCTCAGTTTAGATTTACTTGTGGAATTCAAAAGCTCAAGCCTCTGGTATCGTGATTCCTAATCCCTGATTCAAACCCCTAGTCAACCACCATAGGCCATTATGGTTTCTCATTCTCTGGTTTCTATTTCACAAGCCTAGCCACCGCTGCCACCTGTCTAACTACATATATAGAAGATAGAAGCTAATATAGTATACCAACTTTACTTTATAGTCAACTACTACCTTATACACTACAAAAACACTAATAGAGCCAAACAAAAGCAAACTCGTCCAGCATATCCCACTCAGAATAAGGGGCAGGAGGGGTAGAACGTATGCAGACTTTACCTTTATCCCAAGAGGTAGAGGGGTTGTTTCCGTGCAAACCCCGGCTTGTTAAAGAAATTTTTGTGAAAAGGTTTGCCGGAAAAAGATTTTGAAAAGATAAAGAAGTGTTCAAGGCTTTCTTGATAACAAACGAAGAGTTTAGGAAAAGTAGAACAAGTCCTTAGAGCATGCAAAAAGAGGAGCATGTTAAAACAAGTATGGTAAAAGCATAACAGAAAGTAAAAGTACAAAAAGGTAGACATATTAGAAACGTAGAATGGTAGTACCATAGGACATCTAAGTAAGCCAAGAGGCTCGTTCCTAGTTAACCCACGCCTCACTCCTGACTATCACCAAAGAGCCCCCCTTTATCTATCCCAATGCTCCGGGAAACCTCAATGCCAGCTCTCTAACCCTCCCCCATCCCGCCACCTCCCCTCCGCCCTCCAAAAGCTTACAATTCCATATACATAATTTGCTGCCCTATTCATGTGTCTCCAAAAACTCCCATCAAATGTCATGTCCTCGAAAGTATCTAAAGCCGCCATGTGCAGGCTCAGTTGCTCAGAGCACGTCCTCCGCCTTAAATGCTCATTCCACATTCTCCTCACCCTGTCCTTCCTCACCCCTGCACCATTACACTCTCGATCCTCCTCATTGACGCCAACATTTGTTTTTTGAGAACATGCCCAAACCACCACGATCTTCCTTTTTCTTTATCTATTTGTAATAGATGCAACTCGCAACTTTCCGGAGAACTTTATTTCGTCCTACCACAAGTCCATATCAACATCTTCAACTGTCACCTCAAACTTCCTCTCATGTGGCTTCTTTATCGCTCAACACCCCCACTTAGACCCATAAAACATAGTTGGTAAGCAGAATTTGACATTCACTTTTAGCGAGAGCTTGTCACACAATTTATCTTCTCTCTTCATTTATCTATAATAGATACAACTCTACCCGGTAGACTTCATTCGTTATCATGTCCAACCCAGTCCTACCACAAATACATTTCAGCATCTTCAATTATGTCGCCTCCAACTTCCTCTCGTGTGCTTTCTTAATCACTAAACACCTACAACTCAAACCCATACAACATAGTTGGTCTGTGGAATTTGACATACAATTTTAACGAGGCATTGTCACACAATTTATCTTCTCTCTTAGGGGGCGTTTGGTTCACAAATTCTGAAGAAATCTGATGGAATTGGAATGTTGAATTCCATTGACTAAATTCCATTTCCTCGTTTGGTTCATCCTTTTTCACGAAAGGAATCTTCAAAATCCTACAAATTCCACAAATAAAGAAATTTAACATTCCTTAGCAACTACATGGTATTTTGATGGAATGGAATTCTCTATTTTCATAATACAAATATGCCCTTAACCCAATATACCCTAATCTCATAAAACCCAATATGACCATCATCTACCACCTTCGACCACCACCGATCTAAATCACCGCCGACCATCGCCATCTGAACCACCGCCAACCATCGCCATCTGAACCACCACCGACCACTACCAATCGACCACTACCGATCTGAACCACCGTCGGCCACCACCGATCTGATCCACTATCGATCTGAACCAACGCCGATCACCGCCATCTGAACGACCATGGACCACAACCAATCTGAACCACTATCGACCATCGACATTTAAACCATCACGGACCACCATCGATCTAAACCACCGCCAACTACTACCGATCTGAATCACCGCCGGCCACCGCCGATCTGAACAACCGCCGACCATCACCGATCTAAACAACTACCGATCTGATCCATCACGGATATGAACCACCCCTGATCTGAACCGCAGTCGACCACCGCCACTTGAAGCACCACGAACCACCACCGGCGACTACCACCAATCTGAATCATTGGCGGAGACCGCCGACCACCAACTATTTGAACAACCACCGATTTGAACCACCGCCGCCACCGCCGATCTGAACCACTGTCCATGTGAACCACCGCTGACCACCTCCATCTGAACCACTGCGAACCTCCATCGATCTGAACCACTGCCGACCATATGCGGACCACCACCTATCTGAACCACCGCCGACGACCGTTGATTTAGTAACGTCGTTTGGCTTATGGTTATATTTGGGTTGTGTATTTTATAGTTTTACATATTAAATAATTGTCTTATTCAAGTATTTTTAGTTGTAAAAAAATTAAAATTTTCAAAAAAGAGAATTTTGGTCATTTACCAATATTTCATTCCAATTCCAAAGCTACATTCTGTGAACTAAACAGACAGATTCCAATTCCTTAACAGAATCCATTTCAATGTTTGCCAACCAAACAGATGGTCAAACCTGACAACATTCCATTCCAATTCCTTTAACAGATTCCATTCCATCCAAAAACATTCTGTGAACCAAACGCCACTTTAAGTTATCTCTAATAGGTGCAGCTCCCAACTTTACCCAGAAGCCTTCATTTGTTATCATGTTCAACATGGTCCTACTAGAGGTCATCCAATCATCTGTCAATTATGTCACCCCTTTCTTCTCATGTGCTCCCATACAACATAGTCTCATGGTTCATCTGTAAAATTTGACATTCAATTTTAGCAAGACCTTGCCACACAACACTCTCGTGGTTGCCCTCCAATTTAACCGTCCTTTTATCCGATGGATAACATCATCATAAAACTCCCTCCTAAAACATGGACCTAAGATACTTGATGGTGTC